GAGAGAGAGAGAGAGAGAGAGAGAGAGAGAGAGAGAGAGAGAGAGAGAGAGAGAGAGAGAGAGAGAGAGAGAGAGAGAGAGAGAGAGACTCTTTTGCTTCCTGCCTGGATCTCTGGTTCTTCCATTTCTTCTTGTACTTCCCCTGTTAGGTACTTTTTTTTTTTTTTTATGTAAACAGGGCCTTATGGTCCTGGCTCCTTCTATTCTGGGGAGCGTCAGTCCGGTTCCTATTCCACCGGCAAGTCAGATTATACATTACATCAATTACCAATCACACACGCTTCCTTCCGTCAGGCCGAAGGACCCTTGAGCAGCATTGATTGCTCCACCACGGGAGGATTGACTGTCAGCTTGCCTTGTCCCTCTCTTTCCTCTCAGACCCGGAAACCAGATCTGTCAGATAAAGCATTTGACCCTAGAAAGATCACATCTGTTGTCCTTACCCAACCTGGTCCTCCACCATACACCACTTTGCCCCCCTTTGGAAGGTCAACCGTATATCATTAGAACCTACACCCTCAGTCTGCATTCTTATCATCCGGTCGTCAAAATTGGACCCTGGCATGGGGTTTTCCGGATCTTTGGGATGGGATCATCCTTTGCGACCCCCGTTCATGCTCCAGCGTTATCAGACTTGTCCTCCTTTTTCCACGTCGTCTGTACCCCCTGGCCTTCCAGCGTCGTCTGATGTTGGGAACCCCTTTCTGGAATTGAATTATGCCATTCTTTCCAGCATACCCGGTCCTGTCGCAGTTCTCCAACCTTGCCATCGACCAGCCAAATCCTGTAGAATCTCTGCCTCTCCTTGTTCCGCTGTTCTTCGTCTTCTGTCCAGGCTCGTTTGATCTTCCGCCATCTGCAAAGGATCTCGGCTTGAATCATTGTTTTAGTTTCTATCCACACTTTCTCCCGTTGGTTGGACCGTCCTTCAATTGTTCGACTGCATCTCTCCTTCCATAGGTACTTTTTTTTGCTATGAAAAAAAGGTATTTTTTTCTTTCACATGTTGTTATGGTCTTTGGGTCCTTGTCCATCCTGTTTTTTTTTTTTTTTTTTTTTTTTTTTCCCCTGATCCAGGTCCGAGCCTGTGCGTATCATGGATTTGTATTTTTATCTTTTTAATAAACTAGGCTTCTTCTATTACGGGGAGCAGCAGTCCGACTCCTTCTCCACCAGCGGGTCGGAGATGAACACAAATACCGCGCACGCTTCCCACGTTACGGCCCGGGGAAGCCTGACAGCATTTTGATTGCTTCCCGGCGGGAAGGATCGACTGCCAGTCCCGTCCATTTGATAAAAAAAATCCGTCCCCTTCCCCTCACAGATGTACCCCACCGAGAAGGAAAGAAAAAAACATGCGAAAAAATAGTCTTTCGTCCACCCGTTTACAAAGGAACATGCTAAGAGCTTTCTGTCAGTCCTAAACCCCTAAACCCTCTTCCCTCCTCTCAGGCTAAGCCCGGCGCCTGTCCCGAGATCAAGCGGAAGCTTGGTTTTGCCGAGGTTGCTGCTGATATCCCAGGCCCTCCCTTTTGGTCCCCTGTGTAGTGACCACCGAAGCGTTGGGGCCTTGATACAAAATTCTTTTTTTTCTTTCTTTCTGTGGCCCGATGGACCACCAATCAGATAATATTAAACTGATCAGAAGATTCAGAACAGATACAGTGCAGTTGATCTTACTTAGCCAAAAAAAAGGCCGAGAAAGGTATAATGATGATACAAAATTCTTAATTGAAGTTATTACTCAGCTGATTTGTCTTTGAGGAGAAGTTTACAGATCCAGATTTTTCTGATTGTTCATTGTTCATTGGTAATTGTTGATTGTTAATTGTTAATTGTTAATTGTTAATTGTTAATTGTTGATTGGTTATTACTGTTGTTACTCATGTGCAGAGGAATCTGGACAGGTTAGGCTAGTCGAAAGCAGCAGTAGGTGCAGGAGGGATCCCGTGCGATGAATCTTCCTCGCTTCCAATTTTTTTTTCCAGTCATAGTTCTGAAAACAATGTTACTCATCTCGATTCGCGACTGATTCGGCGGCTTTTGATAACTGAGCGTTTGCAATATCGATTTCGGCTTTTAATCAGTTCAGGCCAAGATTGACTATGAAGTTGGGGCGAATGGGCAGGAAGATGCAGGGAAGGTCCGAAATGACACAGGGAAAGAAAGCGGGCAGGAGTTCCCAAATCGTTGGCATTTGCCGCTCTCTTTCCTATTCGTCGTGTCAGGATGACATTCAGCCTTTTGCAGCAAATAATGATCATGAGGAGGATTCGTACGACGACGATTCCGACCATCTAATTGATGAGCAGGAGCCACCACCAGCAGCCAGGCAGGTCCAGATCAGAATGATGACAAAGGAGCTGTGTACTTTTACTCCCCGGGATCGAAAAATGGAGTCCGTGTCCGTTGATCGCTGCAAATCGTTGTGCCTGCTGAGGAATCATCATGTTCCCGGAAATGGCGGAAAGAGTAACGAGGCGGAGAAAGGTGCAGAGGCGGTGTTTTCGAAAGAGTTCCGCACAGTAATGATGTCGCAGGTCGACCCACTTTCGCACATTGGAAAGTTGAGTAGCTTCTGGAATCCCTCTGGCTCTGCCCTACCGGTAGTCTGCCAAGACAGGGAGCCTTCGGAGTGGAAAGCTTCTGACAGGCCGTGGCCTGGTAGTGGCAGACGCGGGCGGAGCGTGAGGGAGAACCACTCGGAGAACTACTCGGAGAAGCATTCGGAGAACTACTCGGAGGAGGAGTGTAGGTTGGCAAATGTATTCCCAGGCATCGGAGAGGAGACGTCTTCGCTTGGTCGAGGATCGTGTGCAGTTGTTCGAGATGGAAGGACAGGCTCCTCCTCCTCCAGCAAGGGCCGTCTCTTGTGTGCGGCTAGAGCGCAGGCAAATGTGAATGTCTCAGGATCGGCAAAGCGCAAAGCAGCAGCTCGGAAGTCTTCAACGATGAGGATGGCGGGACCACAGGCAGTGGATCGGGACAAAGTCAGTTGTCGCAGCAATTTCTCGGCGAAACGCGTCGCTGCATCGAATGGTGATGAACGGCGGAAGCAAGCGGTGCATTGGAAGGACAACAGAGTGAATTACGACAGCAGAGAGGAAGGTGCGCAAGCAGAGGGAGAGGAGGAGGAAGAGTGGCTGCTGAGTTTCCCTTCCAATCCTGAGGAGGAGGAGGAGGAGGAGGAAGTGGGTGCAAATGCTGTCCACTGCCAGCGGCAGATGCCGTGTTATCAAGGGCACAATTTGTTAGAACAAAGAAGAAGATGTGCAGTCAAACAACAGACTACGATGCGCAACCAGCAAGCGAAAGAACGAAGGCCGTGGAATGGTGATGCAACCGAGAGCCCTCTTTCCTGCCAGAAGACAGAATCCAGATCTGATGCTGCTGATGTACATTTCAGTGATGATGACGTTCGAGCCCGTGACACTAATCAAGCAGCAGATGGTTCCATTGATTGGTTGAGGTCTGTTCCTGATCAGAACAGAAGCTTCGCAAGCACAAGAGGAGTGCGGAAGGGTGGTGGTGGTGGCGAGCATGATGGCGTGAGACATGCGAAGACAACATTGAAGGTAGGCTATGGCACATCCTTTGTTGGGAAAAAACATATGGTGAGGAGCCCTGTTTCAGCGGATGGCATCATCAATAAGCGGAACATGAGTGGGTTGGACGGAGGAGGCGAATCGGAGTCTGGGCTGATACATGATGCTGAGCACTGGATTGGTGATCAATGGACAGCGTCGGAGAGCAGTGATGAGGAATTGAGGGAAATAGGAGGGCGACGGACAAACCAGCAACGCCCTTCACCACTGAGCGCCCACAGGCCTGGGCGTTGTAAAGATGGGAGGAAGCACGCACCACCATTGACGCCCCCAAGGAAACACGAATACGTGCATGGAGGTGTTTCCAATGGAGGAGCCAGGCAATCTTCCGATCATGCAGATTCGCATTCTCACTCGGGATTTCATTCCAATCCCGCTCGTCGTTTTGACGGGTCTGCTAATCCTAGGCATCAGTACCATGGGAAAGGGAACCAGATGCGATCATTGGAATCATCAGACATGAGGAGGAGGGAAGTGGCAGTGGCCCATAGTGGTTGTGTAGAGTCGGGCGAGAACGACGAAGCGGGACAGATGAGCTGGGAGCGTAACAGGCGAGAGACTGAGGGCATTGATGGGAAGAATCATGGCGGTAGCGTCAAGGACCAGCATACCCCAGCTTATCTTTGCAAAACTGGAGTCCCAAATAACCTGGGACAAGACGGACTGGAACCTGAGGAGGATGTTGCCGAGGATGACACATTCCATGACGGACGGGGTGGTGGAGAGTGGCGAGGCAGAGGGCCAGACAGAGTCTCTGCTTCCGTCAGCTCCCTTGGGGACCGCATCGGGACAAGGGACAGTTCAGCGTCGATCCCAACGAAGCGTGCTGGTAAACAACAGTGTATTGGGCAGAAGATCTTCCAAGTGCAGGGCCGCTCCCGTGGGCGCGGGAGCCAGAGGCATGTGGAAAAAGGCATGTTGGTCAGAGAGGAGATTGTGAGTAGAAGCAATGGACTACGCCAGACCTCTTCGACGGGGAAGCGTCAGACGCCACAGCAACCAGGCGGAAGACCCAGAAAGGGTGTCCCGTCATTGGGATTGGGGTTAGAGGGGTCAGGATTGAAATCCAGTCCTCCTGATGGATTCATTTCAGAGCCGGGCTTTGAACCTTTTGGTGCTGTGTTGCCAACCCGGGAGAATGTGCGGCGAAGATCTTCTGCCGTTGTGAAAGGGGATGAGGGAAGTTGGGTCTGGAACTATTCGCAGAGGTCCCACGAAGATCTGAGATGTGGCCTTTCCGGGCCTGCTTACAGCGATGAGGAAACCGAAGTTTTCGCCTCCGACAAGGACTCGGCGGGCGGCGATGTGACACCGAAACTGTCGGCAGAGCAGATATGGTCGCGGCAGCAGATTGGCAATCAGGATCAGAGGGCGAAAATGGGTAGGGAGTCCCGCATGGGAGCAAAGTCAAAGGGAGGAGGAGGCTCAACCAGACGGAAACCTGCCTTTGGACAGTATGACAAGGAATATAACAGTGGAACGACGAGACACGCAGATATGACGAGGCAGCCGCTGAACTGTCACCGACCAGGCTTTGAGAACAGCGAATGTGATGCGTCAGAAGGGTCGGCAGGGATATGGGAGGATGATGAAGAGTATGACCTTCAAACTGTAAGTGCCGAAACTGGTAGTAGGTTCAGGCATCAAACCCTGCCGTCCTACGAAGTGTGTGGTGCACACGACATGGCCTTGCACAAGCAGAAGAGGCGCAAAGTGTCGAAAAGCTCACAGCAGACGGGAAAGTTACCAGGAAGGCGGCAAACAGACAGCATGACCAAAGGGTTTTCATCAGCCCAAGGTGAGTCCAGTGAAGATATGGATGAGCTTCAGAGCAATGGGAGTGATGGACCAGGTGGTGGTGCTGCTGTGAAGGGCCTATACCGAGGCAGGTTGTCGCAGAAGGGTCAGCAGAGAAAGTCGTTGAGCAAGCAGACAAAAGGCTGTGCAGACATGGAGCGTGAGGCAAGGCAGGTGGAAGACAACGCCGGTGGAGACGTGAGCAGTGGCGGACGGTGCACAGGACACATTCCTAGGATGAAGATGGAGGGATCGGCTCAGAAGCGGAAGCCCTTAGGAGATGGCGGATGGGAGAGACAATGTGGAGATGAGACAAAGGACGACAGTGAGGGGTATGATGAAGAGATGCAAGCTATGACAGCAGAAGAGGGTGACGTGACCAGCAACGAGCAAGTCCAGCCTAGTGATAGAGACAGGGAATCGAACAGATGGGAGGCCACCCGTGGATTGTGTAGATCTCAGAGAAGGACATTGTTGGACACGTCAGAAGCCGGCTGTGGGAGCGGAGAGTGTGGGGGCGGCCAGCTTGAATATGGTAATGAAGCCAATGAGGAGATTGAGAATGATTGTGCCACAGACTGGGACAGATTGTCAAGTGAATGGGGGCAATGCAGGTCGCCACATACCCGCTTAAAGACCAACTTCCAGCGTGGCCATGAGATCCAGGGAGAAAAACTTGAAAAAGGTTCGATCAATCAGAAATCGATGTACGTGAAGTCTGCAGCAGGACAGAGCGAACACAGCGATGAAGCTGACGAGGATAGTGAAAACGCTTGTGTAACAGGTTGTAACAGATCATCGAATCGATGGAGGCGACGCAGATCCCTGAAGAGTAAGTCTTGGGGTGGGCATGAGATCCAGGAAGGAAAACCTTTGGGCAGTAGGAACCCGATCGGTCTGGTGGAGTCTGCAGATGACTGCATGAAGGGTAGAGGCAGGGGCAGGACCAATGATGAAGCTGATGGAGCTCAAGCAAGCGGGGGAGATCGTCGCAGACATACGCAAAGAGGAGAAGCACCCTCCTCACTCGTGAGGGTGAGATATCCCTTAGGTGGCTGCGGCAATGAGATCGAGGAGGTGAAGCCGTTGGGTAATCAAGAAGTGATTGCTGTGGAATCTGTGGATGAGCATCTGATGGGCAGTGACAAGGCTCGTGACAAAGCCGCTGATGATTTAGCGAATGGTAGAGGTTGCGGCAGACAAAAGACCTCCTCCTTGTCGTCACACGAAGTTCGGGAGAAGTCTGTGTGCGACAGCGTTCGTCAGCAGAGAGCAGGATACTTGGTGAGTCAGCAACCTGTCTGTGCAGACTCTGCGATGGAGCGTACGGGAGACAGGGGTGAGGCTGATGAGGAGGCTGAGCATGCTGTAGCAAATGGAAGAGGTTGCCATGTATATCTGCACAACGAAAAGGGCCCCTCCTCATCGTGTGACCTTCGGGAAAAGACCTCTAAGGGCAGCTGTAGCCCTGGAAGTCCCAAGGTGAAGCTGGAAGACAACAGCGTTTTTGAGACTCGGAGAGGAGAATCCTCTGGCAGTCAGAAACTCGTGTGCCGGGACACTGTGACAGAGCGCACGGCAGACAGGGAAGCGGCTGAGGACGAGGCTGACGATGCCGTGGCGCATGGAAGAGGCTTCCGCAGCACATATCTGCACAAAGAAACGACCCCCTCATCGTCGTGTGACGCTTTGGAGAAGGCACCCTTGGCGGCCAGCTGTAGCCCAGAAAATCACATGGTGAAGCCGGTGGGCGACAGTGTTTTTGAGAATTGCAGAGAAGAATGTTTGGGCGGTCAGAAACGAATCTGTGCGGGTTCCCTAATGGAGCCTACCGAAGAGAAGAGCGAGGCGGATGATAAAGCTGATGATGCTGTAGGAGATGGAAGGAGTTGTCATGGGTATCTACAACACAAACAAAAGAGCCTGTCCTCATCGTGCGAGGTTTGGGAGGAGATGCGCCAGCGCAGCGGCAACCGTGAGAGTTCCAAGGCTAAGTCAGGAGGCAGCTCGCAGCCAATTTGTGTGGACTCGGAGAAAGAGAGTACACGATGTAGGGATTCTGAAAAAGAGAGCACAGTAGACAAGTGCCAAGCTGATGATGAACCTGTTGATGCCGTCGAAGACGGAAGGCGTTTCCATTTTCGAAATCTGCGCAAACAAAAGACCCCCTTGCCACCATGGCAGGCTTGGGAGCAGACATCCCGGGCCAGCTGTAGCCATGAAAGCGAAAGTGCCAAGGCAAAGCCTGGAAGCAATCAGCAACCAATTTGTGTGGACTTGGAGAAAGAGAGTACAAGATGCAGGGACTCTGAAAGAGAGAGCACAGTAGACAAGTGCCAAGCTGATGATGAACCTGTTGATGCTGTCGAAGATGGAAGACGTTCCCATTTTAGCAATCTGCACACACAAAAGAGCCCTTCCCCACCACCACCATGCCAGGTTTCGGAGAAGACATCCCGGGCCAGCTGTAGCCGGGAAAGCGAAAGTCCCATGGCAAAGCCTGGAAGCAATCAGCACCCAATTTGTGTGGAGTCGGAGAGAGAGAGTGCGAGAGGCAGAGATTCGGAAAAAGAGGAGAGCGCGAAGGGCAGAACCCAGACTGATGGCGAAGACGATGCCGCTGTTGTAGAACTGAGAAGTGGCCACAAGCTCAAGAAGCGCAAGCAACTATCTAGATCGACTGCAGTAGATGCAAATGATTGCGGTGTCGACAGCGGGTCTCAACCTCGACACCAAACTGGGTCTGTGCAGTTGGGCAAAAGCAGTAAGAAATCGCGGAAAAACATGGTCTCTCTCAAACATGGCTTGTCTCATTACCAACTTACGACAGGAGCAGGACAAGCAACCAACAAGAGGACTAAGGTGAGTTAGAACTTTTTTGAACATCACTCCAAAACACGGAACGACAGTGCATGGAAATAAAGTTTAATAAACTTAAATAATAAATAAACTTAATATAGACTATGGGCCTCGCTGCACTACTCTCCACATGTGCAAAATGAGAATGAATTGTCCGCTAGAACGTGGAAAGATACACCTCCATATTTTTTGTCTTTTGTGCAAATGGAGAGTAGTGCAGCGAGGACCTATTTCAGTCAGTTTGAAATCGGAATCGGAGGTTTAGTTTATCAGAAGCTTTTTGGCTTCACATGGTTTCCAATTTCCTTTTTTTTTCCCTTTTTTCTTTTTTCTTTTTTCTTTGGGGGGTGGGGGGGGGGGGGGGGGGTTGTTTGACAGGTGCTCGGGAATCCCTCAGTTGCCGGTGGGAGTTTGGGCTGCTGATTTCCAAACTTCAGTCAGGATAGGGTAGCGAGAGGATGAGATAGGTGAGATAGATGCGGAATAATGTACATAGATTATAAGATTGAGAGAAGAACATAGAATTAGAAAAAAAAAAAAAAATAGAAGGAAATACCAAATAGGAAGTTTTCCAAATTCCAAATAGGGCTTTTTTAAAATGATAAACATCATAAAAAGAATAGAGAATCTTGGTTCGATCTGCCCTGATGCTGTCAAGCGAGACCTATTTCTTTTTTTTATGTGTGTGTAAGAGGGAGACGGCCTTGAGATATCAGCATTGAGCTGGCTGGCCCCAGGTACTTCATAATAATTTTGATTGCATCTGGATTCGAACCTAGGTCTTGTATTTCAACAGTTCATGGGGGTACCAACTGAGCTAGGCCTGGTGTGAGTCTGTGATACCCATGTCCCACTTGGACACAGGGCAGTCTGATGTTGTTTCTGTCGTTTGGGGCGGTGTCAGTTGGTCATTCAGTTTTACCACCTCTTTTTTTTTTTTTGTCTTTTCAATCTTTTGTCGTTTTCACCTCCCAGCAGTTATAGATCCGTACATCTGGGCCTAAGGCCCTCCTCCGCGCAAGCACAGATTCAAACCGGGGACCTCGGCCTCAAGAGCCAAGTCTTTTCAACCTCCAGTGCTTGGCCCATACATGGGCCGTGGGCCATCCCCGTTAACGCGCCTGAGGAAGCGGGGGTCGTGTGAGTAGCAACCCGGTCGACCCAGCAAGGCGGGGCTACGGTATTTGCGGTACAGCACATCGCACGGGAAAAAAAATGAAATTGAACAATGTAAATCCTATGAAGGAAAAAAAAACAAAAAAACAAATGCTCGAATGATGCGGCGACTCTCTCTCTCTCTCTCTCTCTCTCAGTGGGAAGATTCACTCCCGCCCTGCCATTTTTAAAGTTGCACACACACACACACACACACACACACACACACACACACACCTGTCTCTTATACACATCTAGATGTGTATAAGAGACAGCATAAGAGCAGTTCCGGTTAAGTGGTCCCCACTGTTGCAGGCTCCATCTATTGGTGGGGAGCAGCACCTGCTGGAAATTGGGGCCCCTGTCCCTGTACGTGTACTGAAGTTTTTTATTTTTTATTTCATTTTTAGTGTACTAAAGTTTGTCACTGGTGGCCCCATCTCTTGTGTCTTAGGGCATTGCCACACAGAACACGAAATGAAAACGAAACGAGTACATCTGCCCACAGAATGTGGCAACATACAGTGTCACTCGTTACTATTTATAGCAAACCGATGAACCTGGCCATTTTCTGCGGGAAGATGCACTCGTTTCGTTTTCGTTTCCGTTTCGTGTGCCGTGCGGCGATGCCCTTAGGCTCTTAGCAAATGACTGCCAACTGTTCGCCCAGCCCCACACTACTGGCAGCTTGATGAGAATAGTAGGCCCTTGGGCCCTGGCTAAACCTTTCTTTTATTTTGCTTTGAGCATGACCTGATGAGAGACATTTCTGGAAGTCCGTCGTCCCAAGCGAGAAGAAATAACCCACATTCCGAATAGGCTAAGCAATGAGAGAAGTGCCCGAAAGCGCGCTTCCAAAACAAGAACATTTTTTAACCCACATTTGGTAAGGGCCAAGCAAAGAGAGAGTGCCCAAAAGTGTGGCCAAAGCAGAAACATATAACCCACAGTTATCACAGGCGAAGCAATGACAGACATGTCCTAAGCAAGAACATATAACCCGCAGTCTGCACAGGCCTCGTCCTTGCTTTGGACACGCAATGTTATCCTTTCTTGACCAGTTAAACCACCAGTACTTCCTAAAGTCGTGCCCATTAACGCTACGCGGTTTTAGGAAACGTACGGGCCACTACAGGAGCGCCCAAATTCATCCAACTAGAAACATTTCTACTCTATTTTTTTCCACGGCCGATAGCTGGGCCAAGTACTGGTGGTTTAACATGTGTCTTGGAGCACATAAGAGATAGTAGGTCAGGCCAATGGTTGCGATGGGTGTGAATATTGATATTGACTCTAAATTTCAAAGTCTTTATTACTTTTTTTCGGTTTTTAACTAGGAAAGAAAAAACAATTGACAATGTAAGGCCTCTGTAAAACTCAGGATGGTGAAGGATTCCCAAGGGGATTGAAACACAACTTGAATCATTACGTCACCCAGTCAATTTCCTCCGATGCGGCCGGGAGTGAAGTTTGGGGGTTGGGCCACGGCGCCAGCCAAAAGAAGGCCGGCCTTGCAGGTTCGTTTTTTTTTTTGACGCCCACTGCCCAGGTCGTTTGCAGGGTCAGAAAATGCTTCTCCAAAGGTACTCAGTCTCAGACTGGTGGTTTAAACTTTAAACCACCACAGTGACTACCTTTCCAAGGCAAAGCCGAGAATTGAAAATGTAACATTTCACAAAGTTTGGAGGGTTGGGGGAGGGTTGGCATGGGGAGAGGAGTCCAAAACTAACGGCGCTACCGCGCTGACATGGTACGGGCCCTTTAAAGTTTAACCACCAGTACTTGGCCCAGGTATCGGCCACGGCGCTTCCCCGTTAACGCACCACGCCTTTAGGGCTTCGGGGTACCGTACCACAATGGCTGGAAGCGCCAGCCAAAAAAAAATCAAAACGGCACCCCGGCGCTTCGGCAAAAAATGGCGCGCAGGGGCATTCCAGGCTCGGCGTCGATAGCTGGGCCAAGTACTGGTGGTTTAACATATTATTATGTCCACCAGCCAAATCCGGAGGCCGACCTGAATGCGGCCGCAGGCCATTACTGGTGCCCCACTTCTATCTTCTATTTCCTAAATCCTCACTACTTGTACCGGTCGTGCTCACGCTCGGAAGAGCGTCACAGTGGTGCATCGCGGCGGTTCGCAGCCTCGGCAAAAAGAGGCTGGGAGGTAGAGTGGTGGCTTAAGGCTTTTTGAGTTTGTAGATGGCTCCTTGACATCGATGGGGAGCTGCACCTGGTCCTGCTGGAAACCGGCAGGCTCAGCATTCCAGTCCAATATTTTTACTACTACATTCCACTGCGCATGTTTGCTACTGTCTTCACCCGCGAGTAGAGCACGTGGTGATTATCACTGCATCTGGCTTTTTGAGTTTGTAGATGGCTCCTTGACATCGATGGGGAGCTGCACCTGGTCCTGCTGGAATCCGGCAGGCTCAGCATTCCAGTCCAATATTTTTACTAATACTACATTCCACTGCACATGTTTGCTACTGTCCTCACCCGCGAATAGAACACGTGGTGATTATCACTGCATCTGGACTGAAATTTCCCACAAATACAGCGATAAAAACTAAGTGTTTTCTTCGGATGAAGAGGGTACCGGGCGTTCTATTTGGGTGAAGACGGTAGTTGGTACACTGGTGAACTGTCGAAACTTGAAATTCAGACCCATATGCCTGCAATGATGCAACCAGAATGAACAGAATTTTAAGTGAATAAGAGTGCAGCTAAATTCATGCTAAGTCACAGGTGTACGCAACTGCAATTTCACCCTTCCTTTTCATCTGGGTAGCGCTGAAATTTCACCCAGGCTGTAGATCTTTCCTGGTCTTCCTCTTCTTCCAGGCGCAAGGTCCCGCTAGCGAACAGGATGGGATTGAATGCCTGCATCTTGACGCGTTTGTAGAAAGGTGCAGAAAATCGAGATCGAACTGCGTTTCCGCACCTTCGTTTGAAACACGTCCAGATTCAGGCGTTCAATCCAATCCTCTTTGCTAGTGGGACCTCACCCCTGGTGTCGTCACAAACTAATGCCCAACAACAATTCTTTCTACAGGCCCTGGGAAGGATGCATGGCATTGCATGCTACTTTCCTTTGGCCCTCTAATCTTGGTGGCGAGTACAACATCAAGTTAGCGAAAGGATGGAACATAGGGTGAGTTCTCTGATGGGGTGGCACATAAATCGAATAAGACGGCTGGCCTATCTGATTCTTCTGCAATCACTTTCAAATTTCAATATTTCCCGAGGCGCATACCTCTTTGGCAGCAACTTTCCGGATGTTCCTTCTCTTGGGGGGAATTAGCCATTTTTTTTTGAACAACTTCCCCCGATCCCTGAAAAAGGTCTGCAGTGTCTCTTGGCCTCAACAACAGCCATACTAGACTCCCGCACCTTCTCGACTATGTTCTTGATGGCTTGTTGCAGCTCGCCTGCGAACGGCTTCATGAATTCCAAATGCCTACAGGATACTTCTGCTGCTCCGATCTGGGAAGCCGAAAGTCAATTGGCGCTCTTGGCCTCCCTTTTAGCGTCCTTGCTGTAGCCGGGAGAGCGGACGAGCTGTTGATGCTTGCCACTTAGGCCCTTTTTTATCCCAGTGGATCTGGTTGGCCCTTAACACTTGTTCACCCCTACAGTTCCTGCCCTCAGTCTAGCCTGGTGTCTTCGGCTGTTAATGTTTGCTGTCTCTGTCCGCTGCATCCCGCGTCCAGGGATTGCCCAAATTCGGCTGCCTCAGAGCCTCCTCTCTTGTTTTCAGTATGTGTACCTTTTAGCCGGACCACCGTTTGAGCATATTGCAATAACCCGCTTCAATATGCCTCGTTGTTTGTAGGCCCGACACCAGACTG